GTGCTGGAACAGGCATCAGAAGCATCGCCCGAGCCAGCAACACATGCGGTGGCTTGGAAGCGCAGGATTGCCAACCCCCCACCCCGTCGCCCCAGGGCCCGGTGCGGGGGGGGGGGCGGGGGGGGGGAGGGAGGCACAAGCCGCGGGACCGTTTCGGGTGGACGTGCATGGGCGGAACGGGGGATTGTGCTGGAACAGGCATCAGAAGCATCGCCCGAGCCAGCAACACATGCGGTGGCTTGGAAGCGCAGGATTGCCAAGCCACGACGGCTTGACCCGATGGCCTGTTGCGGTGGCTTGGCTGATTGACGGCTATTGCAGGGGTGCCCCTCCTTTGTAGTTTAGCGGCTTGGTAACTTTGCGCGTTTCTTACCGAGGGCAAAGACCCTGAAACTGTAAATGTTCTCCCCTAAGCTGGCATTCCGTAGAGCCGCGGAACAACAATTCCCATCATAATCATCATCATCTTTCTGGAGCCCACCACGTGCTTAAATCGCCAGGTTAAAAAGCTTTACATCTGAGGCAGAAAGCTTATTGCAGCTGCCGGATAAACTTGGGGGAGTGGGGGAGAGTGGGGGACGTGTGTGCCAACTCCAAAGAGTGACCTTTAAGGAGGAAGCTCTTGCTGGAGTTAAAAACAAAATTCCAGTGTTTCAGGAATATGTGAGTGGCAGTTTCATTATATACTCATTTGGAAGAGCGTTTACCTATCATGAGCGCTAATGATTTTGTTCACGTAAAAGTTGAGGATGCTCAGAAAGGGTACAAGTATGGTTGGAAGGTCCTCTGCTCAAAGTTCCTTTCTTGATGTGCCACAGCTAGCAATTCTCTCCTAGGTTCAGGATCAGAATTGAAAAGGAGCATTTATTCCAGGCAGGAATCCAAATGAAAGAATCCTGTCAGATCGCTGTCTAGTCTCTGCATAAACACCTCCAGCGAAGGGGACCTCAGAACCCTTCTGAGTAATTGGTTCCATTGTCAAACTGCTCTTACAGTTAGGAAGTTTTTCCTACAATCAGAATCTTCCTTCATGTAATTTAAATCCATTATTCCAGGTCCTGCCATCAGGGATGATAGTGTACAGAGGTTGGCATTCACATCCTTTCAGGTACTTGAAAATTGCCATCATATCCTATCCACCTACCCCATCTGCTTAGGGCTAAACCTTATTAGGCCTGTGTGAATTTCAGCCAACCTGCCATACAGAAGTGCTTGGCCTCATGCAGGTGTGCAACTGTCTCAACATACAGAAGTGTTTGAGCCTGGGCTGGTCTACCTTAATTGGACATTTCATTTCAGTGGGAATAATTTCTGGGCATGCACCACTTTTCCCGAGCCAAGGACCTTCATTGCTCTGCTCTACTCTGGCTCCACTGGTTAGAAGCAGGACACTGAAGTGTTTCAGCAAGAAGGTTTGAAAAAGTGCTTTGCTCAAATCTTCATCAAATCAAAGGATCTCTTCAACTATTTGTTCAGCCCTACTTAACATTCCATGTTCCTTCAATCTGTCTTCATAGAATTTCATTTTAGTTACTTTATCCTCCTCTTTGCCTTTTTTGGAACTATTGTAGTTTGTGTGAATTCTTGTTAAAATGGGATGGCTAGAATTTGAGAAGTGTCTCCCCAATGCAGGATAAATCTAAACAATTATTTCCTGTGATCTGGAAACTGAATTTCTCTTCATGTAATCTAAAAGTACATTTGCTTTTTTTGCAGACACATCATACTGATATTTTTCATCATATTTCACACTCAATTTGATATTCATATTTAGTTTGAAATGAATTATAGTTTCAAAATATTATTCACTATTGTCAGGCCAAGTATTCCCCATCCTGTACCTATGCATTTGTTTCCTGAATGAAGTACTTTGCATTCATTCCTGTTATATTTAATCATGTTATTTACCCCCCATTTTTAATCTATTAAGCTTATTTTAAAATATCTTTCTTAGAATATTAGCTATCCATCCCAATTTCCTGTCATCTGCAAATTTGATAAGGGTTTCCACAATCTCTTTATTCTTGTTTTAGAGCACAGAGGCCCATGCTTGACTAGCTTGCTATCGGAATGTTGTGTGATATTTTGTCAAATGCTTTGCTGAAACCAAGAGAGTCTATGTCTCTACCTCAATCCACTAAGGAAGTTATCCCATTACAATAACATTAATTTGTCATGACTTGCCAAATCCGGACTAATTTCTGATAATCACTGCATTGTTTTCAAGGCGCTTACAGACAGACTGCTTTATGATTGCTCTAGAACAGTGTTGTCCAAACTTGGCCACTTTAAGATGAGTGGACTTCAACTCCCAG